TTAATAAGCCTAGGAACACCAGGAGCAAAAACAAAGAGAAGGAATGTGACTAGGGAGGAGGCTTGAGGACAGCATGTGCTTGCTAAACTCCCAATCAGAGCACATGATCACATGAGATTTGTGTCCTGCTTCAAGAGGATGAAAGCAGTCTGAGAAATTAAGTTTAAACAAATATCAGAATTTCCAGGAATGATGGTTTGAAGGAACAATAGCATAAAATATAAAACTGAAACTATACCAGAAAAAATCTAGGCCACGTGGCTTCACAAGGTATAAAAAATATGGTGGGAAAGGAAAATTACAAAGATACAATCGACTGACCTGAAAAGCTGTTTTCATCTAGCAAAGTTTACATGGCTTTGGGACTTCAGACTGTTTTTGTTCTGTTATAATACTCAGCATTTTAACATACCATAAGGACTCCTAATTAAACAGCTTCAGTAATTTTGGCCATTCCATCCTATTTATGGTGCTGTACACGGTGTCTGGGAACCTCATATGAAGATCATTAACATGCAACTCATTATATTGCTGCTCATGATACTTATAGGTCTAATGAATAAACCGTGCTCCATAAATGGTAAATCATTTGTAGTTGTACCAATGGTTGATGTTATGATGCAGATATCCACTGGCAAGACAAGACTAACAAATACTGGGCTGGGGATGTGGCTCTAGAGGTAGCGCGCTCGCCTGGCATGCGTGCGGCCCAGGTTCGATCCTCGGCACCACATACCAACAAAGATGTTGTGTCCGCCGAGAACTAAAAAATAAATATTAAAAATTCTCTCTCTCTCTCTCTCTTATAAAAAAAAAAAAAAAGACTTAACAAATACTTTCAAGCTGGGAGCAGTAAGTGCAAGACTAATTCCAACTTGGGAAACTGAGGCAAAAGGATCACAAATTCAAGGCCAGCCTTTGCAACTTAGTGAGACCCTTTTGTTTTGTTTCAAAACAAAATAATAAATAAATAAATAAATAGGAGTAGGGATGTAGGTCAGTGGTAGAGTGTCCCTGGGTTAAATCCTCAGTTCCACAAAAAGAAAAAGACTAGCAAATATTTTCAAAATCAGAAGCATTAAGATATCATAGCTGTCTTCCACCTTCCATTCTTTAGGCATGGAAACAAATCAACATACAACTTTGTAAATATACTAAAACCACTGAATCATACACCTTAAATTGGTGTATTGTGTAGTATATGAATAGCACAATAATGCTGCAATTTAAAAAATTAAATAGATCACAACACCCCCCCAAAAAAACAATAAACATATTTAACCAAATGTTAGTTTCCAGAAATTTATAGCCATGAACCTAGCTATTGCTCTTAAAGTATTTACTCTATTCAATAAGTGCAGTAGTGCATTTCCGTAATCCCAGTGGCTCTGGAGGCTGAGAGAGCAGGATCACTAGTTCAATGTCAATCTCAGCAACTTATTGAGGCTCTAAGCAACTCAGCAAGACACTGTCTCTAAATAAAAAGGGCTGGGGATGTGGCTTAGTAGTAAAGAGCTCCTGGGTTCAATTTCTGGTACAGAAAAAATTACTCTAGGGGGCTGGGGTTGTGGCTCAGTGGTAGGGCGCTCGCCTAGCACGTGTGAAGCCCTGGGTTCAATCCTCAGCACCACATAAAAATAAATAAGTAAAAATAAAATAAAGGTATTGTGTCCAACTACAACTAAAAATAAATATTAAAAAAATTACTCTACTGGAAAAATTTACAATAAAAACTCTACTAAATTTCTATAACAAAACCATTATCATGGAGGTGGGGTTGTAACTTAGAGGTAGAGTGCTTGCCTAGCACATGTAAGGCAATGGGTTTGATCCTCAGTACCACAAAAAAATAAATAAAATAAAGGCATAAAAAATTATCATTCTAGCTCAAAAAGAAAAATTGAACAGTTTCTTGCCCTTTACTATAATAGGAGCTAGACTGTATCACACATCAAGATCTGCCTTTAAAGCTTTAAGTGACATTTTTAAAAATATCTTTTAGTTGTCAATGCACCTTTATTTTATTTATTTATATGCAGTGCTGAGAATCCAACGCAGTGCCTCACACGTGCAAGGCAAGTGCTCTATMACTTAGCCACAACCCCAGCCAGCCCCTTGAGTGACATTTTTTAAAAGGGCATTTTTCAGACTTAACTACAATGTTGAATATCATCATTATGGCATGAAACCAATACATCTTTTCCTTATCCTAGAACCTCCTTCCCATTAATCCTCTGTAAGGGAAAGAAACTTGTATTTGCCCACTAATACTACTTCAAAGATTTCCCTTTTCCCTTTATAATCATTATCCCAATTTTGTCTCTAGAATCATTCCAAATGATTTCCCCATGTCCCAACATATTCTCTAACTTTTCCTAATACCCTACCAATTATTTGCCAATTGTTGAGGTAACAGGTTATTTATTTTTTAAAAAGAGAGAGAGAGAGAGAGAGAGAATTTTAATATTTATTTTTTAGTTTTTGGAGGACATAACATCTTTGTTTGTATGTGGTGCTGAGGATCGAACCTGGGCCGCACGCATGCCAGGCAAGCCCGCTACCACTTGAGCCACATCCCCAGCCCATAACAGGTTATTTATGCCCTTGGAAATTCAAAGTGAATCGAGGATACAAGAAGCTGGATGTGGCGATACACACTTTTAATCCCGGCTACATGGGAGACTGAGGTAGAAGGATCCCAAGTTCAAAGCCAAGCTTGACAACTTGGCAAAACCCTATCTTGAAATTAAAAAAATAAATAAACAGGCTGGAGGTATAGCKCAGAAGTAAAGTACCCCTAGGTTCCATCCTCAATAGCTGGGAGGAGATAAAAAGGGGAGGAGGAGGGGATCCTGAACCCCTTGAGAGAAAGGACTGTGATTTGTCCATTGTTWGAAATTCTGGACATTAAGCTGAGTAGCACACAGGATTCTCAATAAATATTTCTGCCTGCTATTAAGCTAAGGCCCATTCATAGAAAGAGTTAACTAACAAATAAACAAGAGACCAGACTATTTTAGGTAATATGTACATTATGAGCACTTAAAACTTCAACTTCAGTCTTGATGACTAAAACAGTCTGTCTTTACAATATCTAGAAAGTGAATTTTAAAATAGTTTATGATTAAGTTGTGACAGAAACCCAAAACCTTTACAATTTAGAGATCACAGTATCTTGTCAATTGTTTTCCTTACAAACTATCTTGGAAGGGAAAATAAAGCAAATCTAAAATCCAACAACAATTAACTATCCAATCAATCTCTAGTTAAGCAGCCTAGTATTAACAGCTTTATAACGGACTGCCCACCACAGACAGGGGTTAGGAGTATTACAAAGAGTAACTAAGGAATGTTTACACACTGATCTCTTCACTATTAGAAAATAATTCTAATATTTCTTAGTATCTACCGCATACATTCACTATGAGGATTAAATGAGTTAATATTTGTAAAATATTATATTTAGACTGCTATCTACCACATAGTAAGTATATAGTAAGTACTATATGTGTTTGTTAATAAAGTAACTTTTAGTCAGTTTCCAATTATAATCATTTATATGTTAGAGATCTCTRGAGCCTAAAGAAATTACCAAGTTTAGAGTAAAATTCCAATGATGCAATTCTTAAATCTAGGGCTGGAAAGAAAAGAGTCCCAGAGAATGTTTCATGCAAGCTCCTCACTTCCTGGTTGAAGAAATTAATCATATACATCATATTTGTAGGGAAACTTACAGATCACAAAAAGCTTTCACAACTATTATTAGGTTTGATCCACAACAGCTTGTAAGGGATGCAAGGCAGGTATAATTAACCCTATTTACAAGTGAGGAAACTACCCAGAGAGGATAAGTGATTTGYCCAAGGTCACACAGTAAGTGAAAAAGATCTATTCTAGAAACAGGTCTCTTAATGCCCAACCCAGACCTATTCCTTTATGCTACCATTTGGGCCTGGTCTTACTTGGGTCATATAGGAAGCAACAGTTCCATTACCCTAAGAGAAGAATGCTGCAAATGTTAACTTGAAAAGTTAAGTCAATTCTGTTAACTGTATGTAGGGGTAATCAATAGCTGGCAAAACACCTACCTACACAGAAGATGTAGGTAGGTGCTAAAGTCTCATACATTCACAAAGGGCACCACACATTGCCTAATACAATTTTTCAGAAGTCTCCAAAGAGTCAGGTCTCCAAAACCCACCATTCAGAGATTACCAGACGCAGAGAATGCTTGGGTCAGTTTAATACAGAAAAGGCTGCCACTTCCCTTAAACTAAAACCAGAAGGAAAAGGCTCGCCCAACAGGAAGGTGAAAACATGAAGCCTAACAAGGCTCTAAGGGATTACTCGCAGGCAGCAAACTCCCAGCCACCAATGAGTACCAATCCGCCCAGCCCGCGAATCAGCTCGCGTTTATCCGGCTGCATCTTCCCCAAGGGCTCGCCGCCCAGGACAGCGATTAGAAACCCGTCATCTAAAGGTGAAAATACACTGGCTGCCATTTGCAGGACACAAAACAATCCCACCGAAAGATGGGCTGGCTGTAGAAGTCCGACTGCATACCAACACAAGACGTTATTTTAAGCGCGTGTCTGCACGAGAGGGACCATCGGATCTACCCATCAAGCATCTCCCAGCATCCAGGATTTTTCCTAAACTGAGCGGGAGAGCTAAGCGATGCGGCCCGGTTCCGCCCCACTAAACCACCCGGGTCCCTTTCCACTCAGAAATTCATCCAACCCCCAGCTCSAGAAGCGTGGCAGGGGGTCTGGGTGACCCGCGACTCAGGCCTCGCTCCGCCGCTCAAACGTCAACGCCCGAAAGAGGAAGGTGCAGCGGCGGGTGCCAGACGCGCGGGCCGGGGTTTTGTAATGCTGGGAAATGAGTGGAGCTGGCCGGGGCGGGTCCCCGCGCTGTGGCCTCCCGGCAGCCTGACAGCCCGCGGCGCCGCCCGCGCGGCCCCCTGCCCTCCCCCGGCGCGGGCCCGCGGGGCGCGTTACCTTTGTGTAGAGCTCGGACGCAGCCATGGCGGGGCCCCACGCGCAGACACCCCCGCCTGGGCGGAGGCCACACCTCGCCTGGGCTGCCCCTCGTGCWGACTAGCAAGCGCCTGGCAGCAGCCGGCGGGGAGCAGGGCAGGGCCGGGCCGGGCCGGGCCGGGAGGGGCAGGGCGGGGCGGGGCGGGGCRCCTCAGGCTCTGGCGGCCCGCGGGGGCCTGGCCATCACTCCCGGGCTCGCCGCAAGCTGCCGCGAGAAATCCGCGTGCCTGGGGTCCTTCGGGTCGCTGCTGCCTCCGCAGCCACCTCAGCGTTCGGTGATGCCGCGCYGCCGCCGCCTCCGCCCTGTGCATTGTGGGAGCGGGAGGAGGCTGCGCTCGAGAGCTGCCACCGCGGCTGCTCTGGGCTCTCTCGGGCTCACGCTGCCTCCCACCGGCTGCGGGCACCCAGCATCCTCAGCCTGTCACTGGCAGGCCCGCGCCGCTGCCACCCTGCGGAGGCCCAAACCCTGCCCCAGGACATTCGCCCCGGGGYGCGGACGCCCCCCCTGGGAGCGAGTGCTAGACCTGGCTGAAAAGCTATGCCCCCGTGGGAGGGGCAGCTATGGCAGGGACTGTCATCTTGTCTAGGTGAACCACGGGGGGGCGGGGGGGGGGGGCTCAAGGATGCTTCCGAGAATTTCTAGGGAGAGGATTTAGGACAGGTCTTCTTGAAAGGCTGTCGTCGAATAACCTAGAACTCCAGAAAAGCCTAGGTAACTAACAGCAGTGACCTGGATGCTGAGTAGTGCATCACCACCGGGGATTTGAGGAGGATCACCAAGGTCACTCCCAACTCCTTGGCATAGGCAGCAGGGTTGTCTCACGATGTCAGAGCGYAGGAGCTGGTTCTAAGCCAACAGAAACTTAAAAATGAAAACAAAACGTCTCCAGGGGACAACCCCACAGCCTTTTTTCTAGACCTGTGCATTTGCAGAAGTGCCACTACACTTTTGGCCCAGCCCAATTTCTTCGCCTTTTCCTCTTCCCTGGTGGTCTCCTTTATGATACCACCTGAAAATGGCACACTTAACGTAGAAAGTTTATACAGTATCTGCAATTTGACTCTGTATGCAAAAGTTAAAGGCCTCAATCTACTCATAGTTATTGTAGCGCATCATGCATAGGAATGTGGTCTTTCTATCCTCAATGCTATGTTGTCTCAACATCAAGCTCTTCCTCACCCACACTTTAACACCTAATTAAATAACGTTCATTTTTTTTTTTAATTTCAGCCTCATTTTAGTATGTTCACCTGTCTTATTTCTTTGAACTGTAATGAAGTCCAGTGCTTGTCAGGGAGATTCAGGACTGTTTTCTATAAAGACCAATGGTCAAGACTGGGGGCCTTGTTATGAGAGTATTGGAGGATRCGTACTTGAAGGAAAACCGTTCACTAAAAGGGATATACGACCAGTCCTCAATCTGAAACTCAGACCTGTCCCCTTCTTGCTCATCGACCCACTCTCTCCTCAGAAATGGCAGAGGGGATGGCTGCAGAACCCAAAGTCCTTACAAAATTGTCGATATTCCTTTCAATTCTAAAACCAAATATCTTTGATGTTTCATAGTCCCATTCTTTCTTTGACCAGACATAAAGAGAGAAAATGTGCAGTTATGACCAGAAGAASATAAAAAGTAATGGATTGAGAGGAGAACTGGCTCCTACCCTTTACCATTTCTTAATGTCCTATACAAGGTGCCTGTTTGCTTACTTGCATGGATACTTCCTGAAGTTCTCACACACTGAAATAGTTGACTAACAGGAGCTGGGATTGGGGCTCAGTGGTAGAGCACTTGCCTAGCACTTGTGAGGCACTGGGTTCCATCCTCAGCATCATATAAAAAAAGTTATTTTTTAAAAAAGAAATATTTGACTAACAACAAACAGTGCAGTGTTATATTAAAGAGGTACATGGAAAGGTATGGCATCTAATATATTTGTTTTCTTGTCACTTTTGTATATTTTGGAAAAATCTCTTAGTTCTGCCTCCTCATAGTAAAATCAGGACTCAAAATTCCCACTTCTTTTGTAGATCAGAAGCAGTAATAGAACCTAGGTTCTAACAAGCAGATTCATCTGCACAAGACTTCAGATTCAGAAGTGAGCAAATGTAAGGAAATAGGCTCAACTCAGAACTTCTGTTTGCTAATGAAGGCAGCAGAAGAGGTAGGCAAGTTTTGGGAGGACAGTAGTTAATCAAAGTCAGACTCCATACTTTGGTGTTTGGTGGTGGCTATAGCAACACTTTCCATTGAGAGCACRGCTGAATATGTTTTCTAGAGTTGCACCTGGAAATTTTCTATTAAAACTGTTACCCCAGCCTTTCCAACAATTCTGTAGGTGATCAGATATCTCAATATCTTTTCAGCTTAAAAATGTCAGAAGTATGTATTTTTTAAAATTTTTTTTATTTGTAGATAGACACAATACCTTTATTTTATTTATTCATGTTATGTGGTGCTGAGGACCAAACCCAGTGCCTCACATGTGCGAGGCAAGTGCTTTGGCACTGAGCCATAACCTTAGCCCCTGAAGTATGTATTTTTGGTTAAGAACTCTGACTCAGCCTCCTGAGTAGCTGGAATAACAGGTGTGTTCCATCCCACCAGCAGAATTCTTTAAAATAAAGAACTTCTATTTCATCTAGGGAACTTGACCTAAGACCTACACAAATRCAATCACTGCCATTGAATGGAACACAGAAAATAATGGATTAGTTCAGGAGAGCATCCAAGTTGCAAGATGACAGCTGTGCACAAGGATAAGCAAGCAACCAGTTTAGAATGAAGCAAGGAAACAGTGGCCTCCAGGGGAGAGTTTTCTGGAGCAAAAGGAAGATTTTATAGATACCTGATATGATAGAAGATATTAAAGTTATTGTRGCTATGATATAGGCCAAAAGTATAAGGAGGAAAAGATAATGAGAAATGCCAAGAAAAAGAAAAACGTGTATAAGAAATGCAATCATAGCATAAACTGTGCTCTGCAGTGAACTATATCAACCTATAAGGCCAGGAGAATTGCTAAAAATGATTACAAAATAGAAATAAAATGTTATTAACCTTAGTGATGCAACTGTAAAATCATAGATGACAAAAACTGAGAGAAAAGAGGAGAATCATAGGGAAGGATAAAGGGTATTAATACTGTAAAGGGGTCCGGCGTAGCGTCGGAGGGAGAGACCACACAAGAGACTTACTTCAAGCAGTTGCAGAGGGGGATTTATTGGGGATCCGTTCCAGCGCGCTGG